CAAAGATTTGGGCATCCACAGCTTGGTAAGTTAGACATGGCTGTACTGAGTTGGCTTATTTTTGAGGCAGAACCAATATGCCTCAGAGCACTCACAGGCCTCACTTGCTTTTCCTAACAATTTAGACCCAGTCCTGCAAAAGCTAATGCACAATTTCAGTCTGATATATTGCAGATAGCCCTGCTGACTTTGAAAATATGATAGGTGGTGCACGAAGCACATACATGAGACTGCAAAAATCATGGTCCTTGTTCAGAGGACATGATGGTCCCAGCACAGGGCAGTGATCTTTTACTTTAGAAGTTAGGCTCATTTATACCTCATGAGAAAGATTCTTCCCACCTTTTAGTCCAATAACCCAGTGAGTAGGATCCATGACCAGGCAATGCCTAGCCTATATCCTAGTGGTTAGAGCTTTTGGCTGGGAAAATTCACTTTCTTAAACCTAAACATGGCTCTCCCTGTTGCTGGCTCAGTGCTGTAACCATACAGGGTTGGGGCTAAAAGGCAGATGGGCCCTCTTCCTGGCAGGCATATATGCAGGGAAATCCTGTTCTGCTACAAATGGGAACAGAATCTATACTGTGTATTAGTGTAGCAAAAATTGCTGCAACTCAGGTGATATGGCTTGAGCCACTGAAGTTCAACAGAGTAATCTCTCCTGCTCTGATTCCCATAGAAATGGATATTGGAGCATGGAAAACTGGGAAGAATGTTTTAAAATGCTCACAGCAGGGAAGGTGACTACCTGAGGGATCCTGCCATCTGTAATTTTCCTGGTTCAAATCTAGCCCCAGCTGATAGTGTAGTGACTGGCAGTTGTTTTACTCTGGGACCTTTTACGCTTGCACTTCCCTCTAGGTAGATAGCTGAAGAACAGGCCCTCAGTGTGTGTCACAGTGAGCAAAAAAACATCCTCCCACTTCACCACCAAGGTCTAAAAAGAACTTCATCCTCGCTTCTGTAAGAGGTTGCTGAGGCTCAGGAAGGAGACACATTGGCAGTGTACTATAGGAGGAAACTTTCACTGGTGCTGTACAGGTTATCTGAGCAGAGGACTCATGACTGCAGAACTGGCCAGTTATCAGCATTCACCAGCACTGCATTCACTGTAACAAAATGCAAATGTCTAGGTTCTGGTTTTCTTCCCTTCACACCTGTATGGGTTAGGAGTGGCTCCATTGGAGTCACTGGTCCTGACTCTCTCTTCCTTTCAAACCAAAAAGGGCTAGGTGTGGCTCTATTAGAAGCAATGGGCCTGGGTCTCAGGTCTTCATGTTATCATCAGTTGGCTCCATCAGAGTCAGTAATGGAGCTGCCCCAGAACAGGGAAAGAATCAGACCAATTACTAATTCCTTTTGGGGATGACATAGGTGAGGCCTGTTGGACTATTTAAATAAAAATCACAGTGTCCCTTTCCCTCCATTTTCTTTGCCTCTCCCTGATCTTGGTGACCTGGCTCTTGATCTTGCAGAGGTACGAAAGAAAGCAGATGGAAACAAAAGTGAGATCTCCCAGGAAGACACAGCATCAGAGACAGAAATCAACACAGAGGAGCCACTGAATGGGGAGGAGGGAGAAGAGGAAGGACTCACGCGAGATGACTGTGAAGATGAACTGGTAAAAGGCAATAGGCAATATGCCTTCTCCCACCTCAGGGAGTCAATCAACCAACCACAGCTTTGCTGGAATTCAGTAAAACCCCAGGGGAAAAGTGATTTTTCTGTCTTAAGTATAAACCACTGGTTTTAATGTTATGATTTTTCACAGCTATATTCCCCTCTTCCAGACCACCATCCATTATGAAAAAAAACTTTTCGGTAACTGCTGTATACAAAGATGCTGAAGAAACAAATCTAGTCCTTGAAATTTGGGCCACATTTATAAATGCTTCCAGAATAATTACTCAATGGTTAATACAAGTTGCTTTGCTCCAAAACAAATGTTTCTCAGATGGGCTGAAACGTGGCAGAGAGATATTATGTTAGCACCACTTTAATAATGACTTGTATTTGCAGAGTGCCTTTCATCTGGATAAACACCAAGTTTCCAAAGCAGAGCGCAAAGTCTATATTAGCATTTGCTTCACCAACAACTGAGATGTGACCAGTCACCTCTGGGGGAATAATGGCACCATTTTACAGCAGATAATACAGAGTAGTGCTTGGGCCTAGATCCAGCAAAACACTGAAGCATGTACAACCTGATTCAGAAAGGCACTAAAGCTTGCACTGAACTTTCCATATATGCTAAACTCCCATTGACTTCAGTAGAATATAAACACATGCTTAAGGTTAAGCAGATACTTAGGCAAGTCCTATCCTTGTGTGTCTGAAATAGTCTTTGCTGACCTGATCTCATATTTTTTCCATAGGATTCTTACCTCATGTGTTGATTCATCTTCCCTTTACTCTACCCCTTTGCATCTTTACTGACTGGGCACAAGCAAAACAGGTGGTAATTGAGACACATATCAGGGGGCACATCTACATGTGACACTACATTGCCACAGCAACGCGCCAGTGCAACATAGCATTGGCGGGCACAAACTGTGATCCGCAGCTCCATCGCTGTAGTGACATGCTCTCTCAGTATAGCATGTCACTACAGTGACGTAAGGGCTAAAAATAACCATGTGTCGCTGGCATGGCTCAGTACAGGCTGTAACTGCACCATCATTTAGTACTTCCAAAAGGAAGTACTAAATGATGGCACAGTAACAACCGCACTGTAGGGGCATGTGTAAATATGCCCAGGGATACCTCAATCTGCCAGCTCTGGCAAGATAGGGATGAGATCTTTCTATGTCTTTGTAAAATGCCAGTACAGATAGGAGGCCTGACCTGATTAGGGCCTTCTTCACTATGGTAATAACGATTACATAATATTGTCTGAGGCTCTTACCTTTAGTTCAGCTGATGTGCTTTGCTTGTGTCCTATTCATGCCAGACCGTATTTCAACCTCTTAGGCATTTGAGTAGACCTAAGGTACATAAGTATGATTCTATTCCACCCTGTTCAAGTCCTGGAAAACCCATTACTGCAGTTGCTGGACCCTTAGAAGATTTTGGGTGAGCTCGTGGTACCTAATTTCACTTCCTTTTAAAAACAATGCAGAGCTAGGTTTGGTTGATCCTCAGCCTGGCATCTTGAGCATGTGGGGCCCTAATTCTGATCTCATTACATCACTGTAAAACAGGTATAGCTCCAGTGATGTGAAAGGGAGTTAAGGGGACAGTTTCTTCAGCAGTTCCATGGCAGGAGGATCTGACCCCAGAAGTGAAATCAGAATCTGGCCTATGTACCTTGAGCACCCAACTGTTGTTTACACTGTGTAGACTGGACTCTAGAATAGCACTCATTTCCCTTTAGCTTAGCTGTTAGCCCCTACAGAGATCCACTGGTTCCATTTCTTTCTGTAAAATACTTATTACAAATAAGAATGATCTTTCATTTGATGTTTATTCTCTTGGAAAGCTGGTCCTTTTTAGTATTGTGCACACAAGGCTTTGCAGTTGGCATTTTTTTGTCCAGAATGCACTTTTCTGTCTGACATTTTGACTATAGCTATAACTGATCCACCATCTTCATTCTCAGCCTTTGCTTTTAGTGGCCTTTAGTTTTCTGAAGCAATTATCCATGGGGTCAAAACATGCTATACAGGCTCTGAACCCAGGAGATGAATTTGTTTGGAGAAAACCTCATCATTATTGGCAGGCCACAAGCCTGATTTCCTTTCATTTACAAACCTTTTCCAGGGGCAGTTCAGCACATACATACTTTGAAGGGCTGGGCCTATATAAATGAAAAACCAAAGGAAAACACTGGGCCATAATTGGAAAGTGCCTCCCCCAAGTTAACAAACAGACCTGCTCAGGATTTGTCTCTTTGCTAACACAGTCCTATGGCTGACATTTATAATCACAGAGACATCAGGGAATTCAGAGCTGCATCTCCCAATTAAAGCTTTACCTCCTCCCCCAAAGAACATCACAAGTTCAGTAGAGTTTCATAGATTCATAGATGTTAGGGTCGGAAGGGACCTCAATAGATCATCGAGTCCGACCCCCTGCATAGGCAGGAAAGAGCGCTGGGTCTAGATGACCCCAGCTAGATGCTTATCTAACCTCCTCTTGAAGACCCCCAGGGTAGGGGAGAGCACCACCTCCCTTGGGAGCCCATTCCAGACTTTGGCCAGTCTAACTGTGAAGAAGTTCTTCCTAATGTCTAGTCTAAGTTCCGGTTACCTGATTTGATACAGAACAAATTCAAATCCTGCTGACCCAATCAGCCAAAGTTCTTGTTACACTAAGTTGTTGTTTCTTCAGAGTAGGCAACTGTCGTTTCTCTGGATCATGGTGTACACATAAGAGGTCTAGCCAGGTGCCCAATTCGAGAGCAGCACAAGCTTGTTACAGATCCATGTGTTGTCTGAGTTGGAGTCCAAATTTACAGCGTGCCACTTTCTTCTTTCTCACTTTGCTTCCATCCTCTGGATCAAAGCAGGTTCAAGTTGGGTTCACCCAGTACCAGATGTTCCTTCCAGATCAGATAGGATGCTGTGTACTCCTCCCAGCTTTCTACATTGATTTTGAATGACTTCATATCATTTTTACATATATCATGGTAACTCCATAAAGGGTGACCCCATTTTTGAGCCATCTTGAATCTCACTATACAAAATATTTTTGGAGATATGGTCTGTTCCCATTCTCATGGCATTGCCAAGCCATCACAACTGCATCTTCTTGAAAGTGGTTTCTAAGTGTGTCAGTCCTGCATGCTCCAGCACCTCTGTGTTTGGTATTTTGTCTTCCCACTTGATTTTCAGGATCTTATGCAGGCATCTTATGTGGAAGCTGTTCACTCTCTTGATGTGCCTAGCATATGTAGTCTGCATTTCTGAACCATAAAGCAGGGATTCATAGATGTTAGGGGCTGGAAGGGACCTCACAAGATCATTGGGGCTTTGGAAGGGACCTCACGAGACCTCATGAGATCACCAGCCCCCAGATAACAGCTTGTAGATTCACATCTTCACCTTAATTGATAATTTGCTGTTATTCCATGCACATTTCTGTAATAGCCCAAAATTCTTAGCTGCTTTTCCAATTCTGTTAGTCAGTTCAGTCTGAAGGTCAAGATTTCTGCTGATCATAGAACACAAGTAACAAAAGCCCCTGATGACACAAAGAAATTTACCCCTCAGAGTGATGTTAGGTATTGGTTCTTCCACCCCTTGGTACATGATCACAGTTTTCTTGGGCATCTTTATACATGCTCTGGGGGTGGGCAGTTAAGGGCTGGAAGGGACCTCTGGTGGTCATTTAGTCCAATCCCCTGTGGCAGGGTCATACCTAGGCAAATCATCCCAAACAAATCCTTGTTAACCTATTACTAAAACTACACAGGCAACCCTGCCACACAGACACAAAGCATAGTCCCCTAACCAAGGCCGGCCCACAATTTTTTGAGGCCCCTTGCTTTGGGGCCCTGACATGAAGAAGGCAGTGGTGGTGTGGGGTGAGTGCAGAGGCAGTTTAAGGCGTACTGGGGCCCTGGGCAAGCACAAAATTGAAGGCTCTCTCACCCCATGGGAGCTGGGCTTCATGGGGGAGAGGCCCCTTCCCCTCCCCTTCCCAGTACTGGCAGGGAACTCTGGGTGGACCCTGCTGGGCTAGGGGGCACATGCCCACCTCTTCTCCCTGCCCCCTGCTACAGCCAAATGTACACACACACAGAGCAGACAAGATTCTTTGGGTAAATGTGATACCTTTTATTAGACCAAGTAAATAGTTAGAAACATTTTTCTAGCAAACTTTCTGGTTTAAAAACCCTTGGTCAAGCTGAGGAAACATCTGCAGTTGCTGTGTGCTCTTCCTGGATAGAATGAATAGTAAAGAAGCCAGAGGCTGGTCTGCATGCAAGCCAGTCAGTGAAAATGTAAATTGAGTGGGTGAGAGAATCAGTGGGTGAGAGTCTGTGGGTTTCATTGAATCAATCCTTAAGGTGCTTGTTACCCAAAGAGCGAGTTTTGTCCAAGACACTACAGACTTTCTATGAAAACTTAAAAACATAGACCAGCTTCCCAGCAACACCCTCCTAGCCACCATGGATGCCAGCTTATGTACAAACATCCCACACCAGGACGGCATCCAAGCCTGCCTTACATACCTACAAGAGCAAGATGACAACTCCAAGTACAGACCCAAAGATATTACTGACCCAATACGCTTCATCCTCACACACAACAATTTCACTTTTAATAACCAACACTTCCTCCAGACAATGGGCACAGCTACAGGCACCAAAATGGCCCCACAGGATGCCATCCTTTTTATAAGCCACCTGGAAGAAGAATTCCTTAAAGACTGTACCATCAAACCATTGCTATACTTAAGATATATCGATGACATCTTCGTCATTTGGACTGAAAACCTGCAATCTCTGATTGAGTTCCATCAGAAATTCAGCAATCATCACCCCTCCATCCGACTACTTCTTGAACACTCCAGCACCAACATCTCCTATTTAGACACAATGTTCAGCATCCAGAATGGTAAAATATAGACCATGTTATAGAAGAAACCTGCAGACCAGCATACATATCTGCACAGAAC